GTTAACTGTGTAGGAAAGCAGTGAAAAACCGAAGGATGTATACGACAATGAAACAACAAATGTGTACTTATCTATTTCAGATAAAGAGAAAAAATGTAAAAATTTGAACGAGTTGTTGAATTATCAGGATATTGTGTAAAAAAATTAATTTATTTTATAATTTAAGATTTTATGGTAAAATTTTTTTATTTTATTAAGAAGGGATATGCTGAAAAATTACCAACAATTAAATCAGAAGTGAAATCTTCTCGCCACAGCACCAAATCCACCATATCTTCTAAACGAAGTGGTAGAATAATCTTTTAAGTTATGGAGGTATGGTCTTTCAGAAAAAATTTGAAAAAAAGGTTAGTCAACTGTCAGTTTTGCCAATGCAAAGCTACTATAATTATGGTTGTTATTTAAAATTTATAATAGACGATTTGAAAGAACGTATTACGGAATCAGAAGACTAGTTAGCACAAAAAAAAGAAAAAGTTTAATCATATAATAATGTAATAGTGGCACTAGAGAACCAGAAGTTTGAGCTCATCCAAGGTAAGGAAACTTTCCAATCTTATTCTATTAAAATGCGATTTTTTTAAAATATCTTATTAAATATATTTACAGAATTACATGAAGTAAAACAAAGAAGTGTTGACATTCGATTCTTTAAAATGTGTTGAATTTGAAGAAAAAGAAGAAATATGCAATGATATGCGGTGAGGTGGAGATGCTTATTTTTAACGAGGGCGATCTCTCTCACCTGTGTTGAATGGATGACTCTAAAGGTCACCAACTATCCTAACGTCTTTTTCTATACAATTTTCAAATTATGAGAGCAATCCAAGTTTATCAAAACGACTAAAAGACTTCAAATGAATCAAGTTATCTGCTTGAGCAATAAATGAATGTTTTCAGGGAGAATAATATTAACTGTAAGGTTCCCCGTAAATAAATAGATTAATTAATTACAATAAAACAAAGTTTAATTTATTAAGATACGACTTTCTTGAAATATAGTTGATTGACTCTCAAATGACAATAATTTAACATGAACTTGACTTTTTATATAATAAATGTCTCGATATAAAATTCAATAATGATCATATTACATTTATGTGATCAAAGACTCATATTTTGCATTAAAATTGAAGCATTTATGACTTCTATGAGATTCATCAATATGCATCTACTACAACGATACAATAATAGCATTTGCAATATTAGCAATAGTAATAAGAATTACATAAATTCATTCATAAATAACATAAAGAAAACCATTTAAGGTACGGCACCGCCTTGATTATCATAATAATATGAATAATCATTTAATACATAATTTTCCCATCAATACGGGCAAAAAAAACCATTTAATGTACGAAAAATCCATATGTCTGCAGCTCGAGAAATTAGTGCAATTGTGTCAATAATAGCCACCCTTTAGTTTAAGTCAATCACCCTCAATCGTACAAAGCAACTGGCTGGACGTACATGACTCGATTTGTTGACTTCTTGGAAAGCAACACTGGGCACCGGGTACAATACTGCGATCTCTGGACGTCTGAAAATCCGGAACACGTCGTCGATTAGTGACTGCTCCTTATGTCTCCTGTCTCTGGAACTTCCGATTGACCTCCGGACTACGGGCTGTCTTTTCCTGTCGTTGAATTCACAATCCTCTGCCAGACAAACAGTGCCGACAATAGTCTTGAATGACTTGACTTTTCTTGACTATGACAATCTGTCTGAGTGCACTAATATGACTACAATTGACTTTATAAAGAATTATAGAACAACATCATCGGCAGAGCAACTACTTTAGATGCCTAGTTGTCTATAGGAAGCCTCTGGGCTGAGTGGCGTCGGTTGTGCCGGCCGGGATCCTCGTGGCTTCGGTTATCCCCTCTTCTGCATGCATTTCTCCCGCTCAATTCCTTGATGCTGCTTTGCCTGGCATTGGAGGGCTGAAACTCCAATCAAGGGCGTTAGTTCCCGTTGGTAAAATCATTTGGAAGCCTAAGACATATCTGAAACTGGTATATTGCCGTTGGTCGAGCCCAACACTTCACAGCAATCAGGATCAAAACAAGGACATAGTAAATGATGTTACAAAAAATAACTTAGAACTAATGGGAGTATTAAATAAATTACAAAACCAAATGAATGCGGCATTAAACAAAAAAAGTGCATTAGAAGAAAAATTCAATAAATAATAGCTATAGTGAAAATAATATAACAGAAATTATTATCTAATTATCTTCTTACATGATTTTTCCTTATATTATTATACATCTCTTTATATTTCTTTCAATCTCTCAAATGAATAAAAATTATTCATTCACAATTATTTTTCCTCAATTCGTCAAAGTGAATGTTTTTTTTTATTGAGAAAACCATTCTTGTTAGAGTCATATCATACATTTATATCAATTTTTGTATCTTTTGTTATTAAAAAAGAAAAAGTTAACTTTTATTCTTATTAAAAAAAGAATCTTTCTTATCTGAAAAAACTGCTTTTTAGTAGTTACCGATATTATAGCAATCTTTTATTATTTTACCATCAGAGATTTTAATAACCATACTTGTAATACCTACAGTCAATCAGAACATGCTCTTATTTTAGTCAAAGAATACTAAGGTACATACATATCACACCAAAAACAGCCCTAACGGACTTCACAAAAATACGCGCCAAGTATGAATAACGAAGACGATAATCATCGTTCATCAAGTGCGATTTCTATAAAACTTCTTTATGCGAACAACTACAAAAATGCATGAAATCATTGCAGCCAAGTATTTAAACATAAAGATTAATTATATTTATTAAAATAAAATGGAAATGTTTTTTAATTTTCGTTAAATTATTATGTAATTTTCTACATAAATCAAAGACAAACTCTTTATAATAAGATAAAAAAAAAATTCAATACATGAAGATAGTTGACAGCCTTATTACGTTTTAAAATTTTGAAAATAGAAAAAAAAAATTGAATTAAAAAAAAAATTTCTCTTTTTTTATAAAAATTTATTTAAACACAATTAACTTGGCGTGGCTCTTACAGCTGTAGATAAAACGATGATTGATTAGATGGTTCATATAATTGATAGCCACGCCAAGTTAATTGTGTTTAAATAAATTTTTATAAAAAAAGAGAAATTTTTTTTTTAATTCAATTTTTTTTTTCTATTTTCAAAATTTTAAAACGTAATAAGGCTGTCAACTATCTTCATGTATTGAATTTTTTTTTTATCTTATTATAAAGAGTTTGTCTTTGATTTATGTAGAAAATTACATAATAATTTAACGAAAATTAAAAAACATTTCCATTTTATTTTAATAAATATAATTAATCTTTATGTTTAAATACTTGGCTGCAATGATTTCATGCATTTTTGTAGTTGTTCGCATAAAGAAGTTTTATAGAAATCGCACTTGATGAACGATGATTATCGTCTTCGTTATTCATACTTGGCGCGTATTTTTGTGAAGTCCGTTAGGGCTGTTTTTGGTGTGATTTCACGATTTTTTGTACAACAAACGGAATGTGCATCATTCGACTCCGTTACTACGACATGGAATTTTAGAACAGACATCACTATCTGTGTATAGATAGTACAGTACCAGACATAAATGCTGTTCAATTTTTTAAGAGTTCTACAGGCGATTTTCCTATACCGTCCTATAGAAAATCACACAGCATTTATGTCCGGTACTGTATAATAGTCTTCAGTCTGGTAGTATTTAACTATCAACTCAATAAAAAAAAAATTGTTATCTCCTACCGATCTTGAGATATAAACAAAATTATTGATTGAAGGACATGAATTAGTTTTCAAAAAACGTAAAACGATTTTTTTTAAAACGTCAAACCATCGGTAATACATTCTATGTATTACCTATCAACTTAAAATGTACATAAATATTTGTCGTTTTCGATACCGAAAAATTCGGTCGGCATAATACGGACACGGCATAATGACAGCGCGGAATGTACGATCGATCGTCGCGCATAACATCCACGCAGGTTCAGAATTAGAAGCGGCACCTTAAATTTTCCGGCATATTAGATTTTTGCGCCTTTTCTGATTTTAACTTATAAAATCTAAAAAGTAATAAGTGAGGAGATGTAAGTAAAATAATGAGTGCAATAATTCATATGAACACATAAATTTTAAATTCTATTCTTTAAATTTTTCCTCCTCTCTTTTTCTTCAATTTAGTAGGATACAATTTCTCTTCTATTGCATTCCCACCATCAACTTTTTTCATGAGAATTTCCTACAAATAAAAGAAAAGAAATACTTATTATGTTCAATTTTAATTATTGTGATTAAATGTAAAAAATAGATTAGCTACCTTACTTATCATTTATGAGTCACTTAATTTTTCGTTAAACATTATAAAATAAATAACAATCTCTAGACTTTGTACACTTTGGTTTTCTTTAGGGGGAAATTGACCGTTCAGAATGAAGTCGTAAGTAGACAGAAGATTCATGCTGCATTCACATGAGAGTGAATCAAAAGTCAACAGAATAACTATTTGAATTCTTCTGTAAATCTATATTTAGAATTTTCCCAAAAACTCAATTCAAATAAAAAGTAATTTTGAAAAAAATTATTAATAATTTTAACACAATTTTAACTGTTGCGTCTTTAATGCCTTATACTATTGTACTGGAGCGACATTTGTACCAGTACTATACTGTCCTGAACATTTTGGTCATATAACATTTGTGCCCCTTCGAAATGTGCTAGTAGTAAATTTACAATGTTGGTGGAGTAGAAACAGTTTCAACCGTTCATTGTGTTTATTTATTCAATGATCCTCTAGTACATGTATTTATTGGATATAAAGTATATTCATTATGATCAGTAGAATATTCATTGATTATTTTTTTTATTTATTTACCAAAAAAAGTATATATTTTAATTTATCTGTACCTCAAAATTATGAAAAATTCAAAAAAACATGAAAACATGATTTTAAATCTATTTAATTTTCTCCTAATATTTTCAATAATTTGTCGAACCCTTTTCTTTTCTTTTCCAACTTCTCTTCTTCTTCTTTTTTTCTTTTTGATGTGTAATATCTGGAACAAGACATTGAACTATAAAATGACAATGTTCATTTGGTTGTACTTTACTTCATTGTTATTGCAATAAAATAACCCTTACATTTTGTTTCGCAGCTTGAGATTTTTCCCACACTACCTCTTTTTTTTTTCTTTGTAGAAACATCTATTTTAATTTTTTGTTTCGTTTGTTCATCTTTTAGTAAATTTTGTGTTCTTGTTTCGATGACCTTTAAATTGAATTTTATTAAAAAGTATCAGAAAATCAATCACACCGATTTTTCAATATCTCTGTACAGTCACAACTATTGACAGATAAATAAAATATCTTCGTCCGACAATTTATGATTAATTTACCGCTACTATCAACTACCGTACTTACTTGATTTATGTATAGGTACGTTTGACAGAAAGGAGCATTCAACACGCTCACCAGCGCTAAAAAAACATTTATTGAAAGATGGTGTTTTATTTAAGTAATAGGTACACGTATATCCCCCCCCCTATTGATACACTCCCCAAAACTTTATTACTTTTATTAATTTTTTATACCAAAAAAAATTTACATTTATAATTTGGCGCCTCAGTAATTCTTTCATTTTTTACCAACATAATATTTTCCATAGTCATGCAGCAACTTCATGGTAGTACCAACTTTATAAAAAAAAGTCGTACTTTTGAGGAAAAAGATTCTTTTTACTTAAAATGCGGTCCAAGGGGCGTGGCCAATTTTAATTTTTGCAAATAAATGATTTTCAGGACACAATAGCAATTGCAATTTATTGTCGTAGCTAATCAATGGGGTTTTCAAAGATTTTTTAATAAAGTTTATGTCATTATTGCAGAGAAATTAGAAATTTAAAGGAGCATAACCTCAAAAGTGCTAATTTGAGCGGAATAGAGACACGGTAGTGCCTTCGTCACCGCTATTCATACTTGGCGCTCGAGACACTACTAAAATAAACGTGTCTCTTGATCTTAGTATTCTTTGAAAGTTGGGTAATACTTCTAGAATTAGAGTCTCTTGTCTCTGTGGTAAGCAATGAAGAATTCGCATTTATTTGTGTCAAAAATTTGTTGGTATCGTAGAAATAGACCTGTCAAATTTATTTATTTTTAGAATAATCGTAGATATGCTTAAAAGGAATATATTCAATAATAGTTATGGTATGAGCAATAGTGCTAGAATATTAATTATGAAAATATCAATAATCACTTTTCAGACAGTTATTTTCGTATTATCCAACTTGAAATGTAAGTAAACAATTGAACGACTAAAGAAATATGGAAAAATGTACTAAAAAATCATGTATTAAGAAATTTTTCTGTACAAAAAAATCGTTTTATTCAATTTATGTCAGACTTTTATCTCCAATAGTAGCTAAAATGTTAGAATTCACGTTTTCTGAACAACTTGCTTACTTTACTTGTTAAATCCACTAGGGGCCGATAGCCATCTGCTACTCATGATTTTTAATATTAGCGTAGCTATCGATGATCACGTCTTATACGTATACTTTATCGTCTTCAAGTCTTTTTGATATTGTTGAGATGAACTTGGAGAAATTGCATAGACTTCAGTGTAGTCCACAAAACTTAATGATGATTTTATCACGAGTAGGAAAAATAAAATATCACTAAAAATACATGTTTCAATATTATTTGAGCGTACAAGAGAATTAAAAGTCTTTATAGTAGTGGGTCCGATTTTGCGAATTCCAAATTTTGACATATCTCCACGTTTTGAGACCCCCAAAGTCGAATACAAGAGTTTTCTTGTGAACGTCTGTGTGTGCGTATGTTTAGAATGATTTTCGTCTCAATGATCTCAAGAACAAACAATGATATCGACGTGGGACTAATTGTGTTCGATGCATAATTACGCAACTGAGAATTGATTAGGTTTTCAGCAAAATCGGTTTAGATATTCTTTATGCAGAATCAAAAAACTGGAAAAAATAGTAAACTGCAAAAATTTTTCGTGAAAAATGAACTATGTGTAGGTAAAATGTACCAAGCAGTTTGGTAAAGCTACTTTACTGTCGGCTTTTGAGTAAATTTTACCAAGCAATTCATGGTAAATTTTACCTCAACATTTCTGTTTGAATTTTACTGAACTTTTGGGATATTTTCTACCGTCATTGTCGGTGAAATTTTCTTCTATAAACTTTTTTTTACATATCTTATGTATGTAGCAAAATTATTTCAAACTCGAAAGTATCTAATAAAATAGGTGGGTATTATATTGATAAGATAAACATTTAAGTACATCATAATGACTTTATTATTTAAAGATTTACCTTCTAGATGTAATATAATAATAGTTATTATTATATATATTACTTTGATATTGTTACTTTTAAAATGTACTGTTTTTACTGTTAATCTATAATTTTTGTCATATTTTTTATTACTCAGTAAGGCTGAAGATTTTTTTTGTTGGGGAAATTTCACTCAACGTGCTTGGTAAAATTCACCTAGATGGTTTTGTAATAATTCATACGCGTAGTTTGTAAAATTTCTCAGATTTCGAAAATATCACGTGTTTAAGCCAGTGTTAAGGGTAATTTTTCACGAAAATTTTTTCATTGTAGATAACTCTTTTTATTCTTTCCACTGGAGAGTTAGTCATGTGGACTTTTTGGGTCGCACTGGGACTACTTAAGACCACCGATATTTTATTTAGTAATTGAATAAAAATTTTTTTACGATTTTCACAATTTCTTGTAGATGGTAAGGTATACTTTAGAAAATATGAATAAGATAAGCCTATGTTACCCGAGTAAAAATGATCAGTTTTTGGGCGCGCCTAAAGGAGACCCAATTCGAGCCCAAATGATTTTTCAGGCTCTCAACGCGCCCAAATCAGGCCTAAAACTATTTGGCCCGAAAATATTTTTGAGGTCCATAATGCGCCCAATCCAAGCCCAAAAATATTTGAAACCTAGAAAAGAAAAAAAAATTGTCATAAAAACTTATCATCAAATTAACTTTGGTGCTACAAATTTACATTTGTAATAATTTATTGTCATCATTGTCGAATATGATCTTAGAAAATGGGCTTCAATTTACTCGGGTATTCAATAGAATTTTATTTTTAAAAAGACACTTATAATGCAGCAAGTACGATACATGTATTTATGGTATGACTAAAAATTGATAAAATATATATTTTTTTAAAGGAATTTCTTTTGTGAACCCCCGCAAGAGATTTTATAAAAGGAAATGATAAATAGTGAATTACTGATTTCTGGGTAACTATAAAAGTGACACATAGAAAGTTATCTGTGATAACTATATTGTAAATTTGTCAAATCAAGAACGAGGATAGTTCCGTTTGACGTTCGTTGCCAGTCAGATATATTTTCATTTTGTGGTAGCATTATTAACTGAGTAAGGTAAAAGAAAAAAAATTTTTTTTTATAATATATAAGAACATACTTTCTTTATGAATACTTTTAAAAAATTTTGCATCAATTCAGAAGGGTTCCGAAAAACGTGTACATATATATCTAAATTTCGTTTTTCTTTATTGATGAAGATGATGTTAGTTTGATCACAATCGCTGTTGACATAATTTTGAATCTTGCTTTCAAGAAAATTGAATTATTACTTGATATAATAATATAACTTTTTCCATTACAGAAATATGGAAAAATCTAATTACATATATGTTTTTTTAATAATGGTAATGCCAATAGTATTGTCTACTCCATTATTAACCACAAGTGAGAGTATTCTCGAAAAAGCATCAATAGAATCAATCATAGCACCATACATAGAACCTAATAGACTGGACAAAATAGATATAAATGTTTTTTTAGAAACACCAAGCTCTTTTTTCCAGATGAAGAAAATCAAAAATATCTTTAAATCAATTCTCGATATTTTCAATAATGTTAAAGAGCCAACAATCTCTGAAACTTTCGAGGAAATTACTTCTCAGATACATTCTGTTATTAATAAACTCAATAAAACTGGAATAAATCTTTATGATGAATCAAACATTTATACTGTCAGTAAGATTATAAATTCTAGATTACAAGGAAGTTGTGAAAACTTGAAAATATTGTCGAATTTAATCGATAATATTAATTACTTATTCAAAAATCACTATCTCGAATACTTAGATAGACATACTTCAAATGCTTCATTAAACGTTTTTATCTCAAAAGCAATGAGCTTAGATGCTGATGGTCCAGGAAAAAGTGCATTCATGATTGAGAAAATTCTTTATTCTAATGTAGATGGTTCATTAGATAGTAAATTTTTGGAAATGATTATCACTGAGATAAATGTAAGTATTTCATGTATTTAGTAAATCATTTCATTTTATTGTTTCTTTTTGTAAAATTATAAAAATTTTTGGTTTTAGAATGAAAAAACAACATTATGTTCAATTCGTCAAACTCAGCAACAACTTATATACAACTTATATTATTTATTCGCAACAACCGAGTTGAAAGCATATATCATGGTTGTTTCAGCTTATAAATTATACGCTATAACATTAAATGGTAATTTATTTATTTATTTTTTATATAAAATGAGCATAAAATTGGTGATAACATGTGAACTTTTTCAAGATAATTACATCAAAGATTTTGAACGGGTTCAAGCTGAACATTTAGAAAGGATAAAAAATTATCTAATAATATTCCGTGATGCTATTGATAAATCTTCGATTGAAATGATCGTTTGTTCGAAAAAGTTTGAGATGGAAAATATTGCAACCCAGGTCAAAGCTATTAACAAGTTACCTAAAGAAAGTGATTACTCCAATAACAAGTTCAGTATAAAGGCTATTATTATTATGTACGGAATAAATTTAGTGAACGGAAAGAAAGATAAACTTTGAAAATATTATTAATTTTTCAGGGTAGTAACTGGTGTACGATTCGTAATTAAGAACGAAATACTCCATCTGCAGATAGAGGAAGGTAAATTAATTCCAAATGGGCAAATATTATCAGGTAGTGAAGAATGGATACCCATTGATGATATGAATTACGCTGATCGTACAATTTATCGGAATGGACATTTTGCAAGAATGCATCAATGTATCGAATATCATTCTGTTACTTCAACAGATTACTGGCATCTTAGTGACGTAATAGCTTCACCGAATTTCATTGTTATTGGTATTAATACGTCGTAATTTTTTTGCTCTTTCTGTTTCGTATGACTGAGGAATAATTTTGCCAATGAATTTTCTATTTATGAAATAACATATTTTATAATCATAAACATGAATTCATTTTCATAAATGATTATTGCAGGTGCCAATTTAGAAGTTTATACATCAGAATCAATCAACAGTAAAATCATTTATCTCAGACTAAAATTCGCAAAAGTTAATATCACAACAGCTCAATTAAATGTCAGCCAAGAACGATACAGCGATGATTTAGAAACTTTTCCTGCAGAATTCAAGTAAATTTTTAGAATTGAAGTCTAATATCCAAATTTTGAAAGAATTATTGATAATTATTTTATTTTTTAGTAATCAGGACTTAAACAACGATGCTAAATATGTTTATCTTAGAGAAGTAGATACAAACTCATATGACTATATAGATCCTTATCAACAAAGACGTACTAAAAAAGGTCCCTTTATTGATTTACAAGCAATTTATGGGAACCCGAGATATCCTCTTATGGGTATTGGCACTTTTAATGAAGAGTCTATGGAAAATAATATTATTTCATTGAAAGCTTTTGTTTTCAATTTTTCATCCCTTGTGGATATCAATTGATAATTATGACTCATGACAGAATATATTATTTTTTTGTATGATGAACTAATAAATATTTTGGAAATTTAACAAAAAATTATTTAACTGTTAAAAGAGTTTTGACTTTTCAATTATATTTTTATGCTTTAATGTATAAGAATTTTTTAATTATATAATGTATTTTATACTTTTATATTATGTTATTAATTAATGAAAGACAATATTTCTTATCATTGGTTAAATGCTTTATATAATAATAATATAGAGTATCACTATAAAATTGGCAATTCTGTTTTTATTCCCAAGAAAAATTTTCCTGGATGGAAAATTATGAATAAATTCTTTTTGGCATAATAACAATAATGAGCGAGTTATGTAAAAAAACATCACTTTACAATTTAATTATTAGTTTATGGAAAAGATCTATAATTAAATTGACATTTTTGCATGCATTTCAATTTATTTTTATAAATTTTCTATATAATTATATAAATCATCATTAGTACTGTTCCTTCTTTCTGGTTCTTTTATTTATATAAAAATATAAATAAACATTCAAAATGCGCATACTTATCTGGTACAGACAGCACCATTTTTACTTTTTTTTAGTGGCATCAGAGAGAAAGTATTGGAAATGGGCATAACCATACTCTATAATAAGCAAAGAGCACGGTAGACATAGCTCTTTACATCGGATCGAGTCAACAATTCTTTACCTAATGAAATTCGTTTTCTTATAATAAAGCATTGTGAGAAGATAGAAAATATAATTTTAATTGAAATATTCATATACAATTTAATTATATTAATTAATACATATCGTATAGTAGAATCTCTCAGAGGTCCGATTTCAACAAATTTTTTGCGGATTAACTCGTTTTAATTCTTACTTCAAAGTATTTGGATACATTGTTGGCTCAAGTTTGTACTACATTTTATTATGCTCTCAAAGGTTCGAGAATTTCAAATTGTCGGACCTTCGAGGGAGTTTACTGTATTTATAATTTAAGAAATAAGTTATCGAAACTTGATAAATGAATTTACTGTAATCAATTGTCTCTCTTTATTATTAAGTCGACGTAAATATAAAATTGCATGTCACGTAAATTAAAAGTTCTTTTCGTTTTAATGAAAGCGAGCACTTAAAAATCAAATGTTTTTCTTTTATTTCTCGAATGAGAAACAGAATAATACTCAGAATGACTATTAAGTCTAGAGTTGATGATCCATTTTTGAAAGGGTTTCGGTCGATTAATTTTGACTAAAAATTTGTTAATCATGTTGTATTTAATATTTTATATATTTTTTATTCAAAATGATATATAAAATAGATTTTATCAAACTGATGAATTAAGTGAACTCATCGAATAAAATTTTAATATTTTTATAAAGTTTTATTCTTCAACTTGAATATAAAATTACAAAAATTACAAGGCAATTAATGTCTTATGTTGATTCATTAAATTATTTTTTATTTATTTACAATACAATTAATTGTGATTGGAAAACTAGCTAAAAACTATTGCATCCTTAGCAACAAGTTGTTACTGTCGTGTGCCTTGCCACGAGTACCCTGTAATCAACAAGTGACTCCGTTTTCTTGCCACGGAATTTCTGTATGATTCCTACATAATTCTTTTAGATCTACAGGTGGTAAGAAATTTCAATTCCACAATTCTGATAAATTTAAGTACATAAAAAATGCATGCTTATTAATTTATTTAATTTTACTCCCATTTGGAACAATTTGAAACAAATTATAAGAAAAATTTAAAAAAAGACATTTAATTCTAGTCACGTTATAATTGCATTAGAGCTCTTGTTTTTTATCCTGGCAGTATAGTTGACGAATAGCTTAAAAAGATAAAAAAAAGAATATTATTTTTTGACCTTACAGAAAAATCTGAAAAATTGGGATAAGCGTGACGATTGTCCTTCCTCAGCACTATGTAGTAAGAAAATGAAAAATGGTTCGGAAGCTGTGGGATTTGCGAGGGTGTCAATGGTGGTTTAATAAAGACTTCTGAGTGTAGTAGTCACGCTCATATCATGCATTCTTCAAAGTCCTGGAATTTTCTTGAAATAAAGAATAGAAGTATTAATACAATAATTTATTTATCATTTATAGAATAATAATCGACGAAAAAAACTAATATTTCAGAATGAATTATCGTTTAAAATAAGATAGATATTCCAATTTGTAATCTAAAAAAATGTATCTGATATTTTTTGTTAAATTAATTCATCACATATTGATGAATTACGACAATCATCTAGTAGGAAAGAGTATAGTTGAAGAAAATCCACTCGTACAGTAAATAATGAAGATAAAAAAATGAAGAGGGTTGACAAAAAAAATATTGAATGTTCATGTATGTTTAGTACACACATATAAATCATAAGTCTATGAAAAATTTAGCTTGATTCCTTCAGAAATAATGAAAGTTCGAATCTATTGGAGCTAAAGAATTTCATTATGATACGGGTGGTAGTGGAAGACGTGCGAAAGACAGAAGGGAAGAGAAATCGAAAAAGGGTGTGGGTGATAATGGCGATACGAGGAAATAGATGTGGGCGTGGGTACAATAAAGGGGATAGGTTGTGGAAGTAAGGCTCGTACGACTTTATGAAAGTGGTGGGAAGTTGTGGACCATGCGCTTTAGCCCTGGAAGCATATCGTGGTCATGAATTGAAAGAGGAAGTTAAGAAGCTATTCGAGAGACGTAGCTGACGGTTACTAGAGATTGGGCCGGTGTGCCGGCAACAACATCAGGAATGCCACGTCAGTGGTTCAAGTTTCAATTAACATCGGGAATCCTGAGGGCTAGTAGCCACAAGTTGGTATCTGAAGACAGAAAAGATTAGCAGAAACTTGAGTCCACTGTTGGAAATTTTTTCGGTGAGTATCAATTTTTAAAAATGATCTACAATGCATGACTTTAAAATTAAAATCAAATTTCCTTTTATTTTACGAATATCTTGGTTTTTCTTTTATAATCAGTAATCATCATGATTTATCTGTCAGAAATAAACGCATGTTCGTGACATTCTTTTGTATTTGGACATTCATACTGCGCTCTCTTTAGTTCTCATTTCCACTTGTCACCACCAGAGAGCTTTCGATGTGGACAAAGAGCGACATATAGAGGTCAAAGTGACTTTAAACAAGTTTCCCAGACAGTCGGAGGTATGAACATAAAGTTGGAAATGTTCACTGAGGTTAATACTTAATAGAGTGATAGCTAATAATATTATAAAGCAATCTGTATAACTTGGTACTTTGTTACTGGATCTAGGCATCTTGTAATTGCTAGTGATAACATTATTACTAGTAAGTCAGGGTAGCACTTGAGATGGCTATCTCTCTAGGTACCTTTATTCAATTAAATTATTATTTCATTATCAGTCTTATTATTACTGTCTTTCATTTAACTTTTTTGTCTTCTCAGGAGATGAGTTTTCTTTTTTTGTTTAATAGCACAGTTGCCAATGAGCATATCAATTAGGAAGCTAGTTTATGGTCCTCGAATAAAAAAAAAAAAACATATTCTCTTTATAAAACTTGAATGAGATTAGATTTCTACTTATACTGACACGTAGAAAATTTGTGAGTACATCAGAGAGTGAGGAAGTAGGTAAAGCAAAAGCGTTTTCCACAGTGGATAATGTAATTGACAAAGTAACTCGTTTAGAGTGCAATATCGCGCGACAAAGTGGCGAGACGGGCAGCCAAATGGATGGGTGAGAAAGAACGCAGGGAGAAAATAACCCCAACCACGGGCTAGCATATTATAGAGCTAATAACCCTATATATATATATATATATATACATGAGATACACATGGCTATTTATATATATTTATTTTTTTCATATTTTTAAACTCTATTCCTATGGTAATCGTATTGTTATTTATTATCCCACTATTTGCAAATAATAATTATAGTTATGAATTTATATAAAGCACGTTGCACTTGCATAATTATTTTATTTATTCTAATTACTATTAGTCTAGAAAATTCTAATGCAAAAAAATTTTCAATTTGGATGGAATTAATTGAAAATTGTAAAGCAGTTTTACCAATTAATGATCGATAGAAAAAATAAGACATAAAAGTTGTGAAAAAAAATTTTATTCATGAAATTGATTTTCTTTAAAATAAGATTAAATTTTTTGCAACACATATTTTTACTTTTAAATGAAAAAATTTTTACTATCAATGATAAGCTTCTCGAAATCATTCAAACTATATTCAACATAATCTCATATAACTGAACTAAGTTTCAATCACATTAATATAGTGATAACAGCTTTCCTTCCTTTCTTCTCTTCCTATTACGACAAGAGTCTCTTAATTGACGATCTTCTTAGTTTGATCACCGGATGCAAGTTCTAGCTAAAAGATCCAGCGATCTATTCAATGAGAACGTAACTTTAAATTTGAAGATACTAATTGGACCTCTTCACTCGAAAATTAACTTTCTTATTGAGTTTTGATTCACTTAGATTTCACTTAGTGTTGCAACCTCTCTAAGTTGTTTATTTTATTTACATTGTATTTTAAAATCCTCTAAAAATAATTTTTGTTTTTTATTTGAAAAACACGACAAATTTATCATATTTCCTTTACTTCTACATATATTTATTCGTTTTCCTCAATCTTTAATAAAATTTATTACACATAAAAATATACATTGTGCATGGTCACGTTTGATAATAATTTTTTTTAGATGTGACGTTTGACACGATTTTTCTATTAGCTACAGTCAGCTTTTTTCTTTTCATCGTGCATTTCAGGTGTGCAAACGTTTGTACGTGATAAATTTCCTCCCTAGTTATAAAAGGATCAGGATTTTAATTGTCTTATACAAAAAGTGATTCTGGCAATTACATTTATGATGCTCAACAATGAAAAATGATTAATAGTAAATCATATAAACTTGTAAAAAATTAAATCTTTAAACTTTTTTGCATTTTTAAGAGTTTTTTTTCATAATAATAGTGTTAGATATTAACATATTTTAGTTTTTAATGTTTATTCACTATTTTTAAATATACATTTCAAGATACATTCCTTATTTCTAATTAAAGTTTTTTTTCCAATTTGAATATTTCTGCAACTTCTAATGAGTTCTAAATTGTTTATTCTATTATTTATATTTTTAAAAAGATTCGTTGATAATTAACAAACTTTTTCGCGCTTATAAAACTTTTTAAAATGAAGAGATCTCACAATCAGTATTGAGGAGGTTTAACTCCATGAGGTTTACATTAAGGATAAGGAACATCACTATAGACTTAATAGCTAACTTGAAAGCTCAAAACGAAATTCCTCGTTCGAATGAATTCTTTTTATTGATTATTTAATTGTTAAGTACAATCTTCCAGTCATTTATATTATTCTATAGAAAATAAATGGAATTCACAGTAATTTTGAACTTACTGTTGTATTTTAGGAAATTAAAAAAAATATTTATGAAAAAATAGATTCAGATACTGACAATCAATAGCTAGAAGAGTTTTATATGGTACTGAAGATTGTTCAACTATTTTGTCAATATCGGACATAACTCTACATTGTAAATCCTGCAAATCTTAGAGTTCTTTTTTTTTAATTTTTACTCAAATGTTCGCAATTACCCTATTTTCGCAATATATTGATACCTTTGCGACAATAGTCGTAACTATGACAAGAACAATAATATTTGTATAAACAATATATATTTATAGGACAAAATGTATTTATGCTCTACAAAAAATCAGATGCATTAATCTTTAATAAACTTTTTTGAAAACTACAATCTGATGTAAGAATTTTGAATAGGGCTTATGTACTTTTTGATAAAATTATAAGTAACCAACGATTGAAATATAATAAAATATTTTTATTTCTTAAAATATGATTTGATCCATTAAACTAATATAAAACTCCTCCAATAAAAATTGATTTTGTATTTATAAGGAGTTTTTATTTTTTATACATTTTTTATATTTAATTATCAATTTAGTGTGTATTTATTTAGTGTATAATTTTTTCTATGGGATTTTTTGAAATTTATGTGTCTAAAGTTATGGTTTTAATAAAATTGATTAATTTCACGATTCAATGGAGGCTAAAATAAACCGGAATTCGTGTGGAATATTTTATTAAGATAGAGGATTACTTTTTTTCTTGTCTGTATTGATAATTTTTATATTAATTGAATAAAAAATAAGTGAAAGCACTTACATCTACTTGAAACCTGTCGATTGCAAGCTACAAATGTCAATCGACCGTAGCTACTTGAATTCGACGGCCCTCAACAACCTGTTGTCATTCTGATTGTGTTGGTGTTGATTTCACGCAAAATTATATATTTATTAAATAATGGAAAAAGTTATCACAATTGTTATTTAAAATATGTTGAATAAATAGTTTAATCAATAATCGGTCCTTAGAAAAAAATTAAATGATAAAAATGAGAGAAAACAAGAATGAAATCATCAAAATGTTAATCTTTTGAATCAGTACTCGAGAAGTAAGTTCTCAATAAATAAAGTCAGTCATTCTTCTTATAATTACTAAGTAGAGACGTGGAATTGAAGAGTTTTCTCGTGAACGTAAGAGAAATTACAAGAGAAAAGGAATAGTGAAGGTATTTTTCTTCGTCTCTATACATAGATACTTTTTTCTCTTTCTCACTTTCGATTCTCTTTTCGAGAAAATAATGCTTCCACCCCAGGGATTGTGTTCTCAAGAAAATGCTGATTGACTTCCTTTACTATTAATCCTCTTCTTTTACTGCCTCTTGTTAATATCAATAATTCATAATTATTAAAAAGAGTTGATGTAAAGTATTCATTTTCTAAAATGAACTATAACGTGAAAAAATATGTTACTTTTTTGTGTGCACTTATCTGAGAAGAAATATTACACTTTATACCAATCAATTATTCTAAAACGGCGATGAAAAGTATTTTAGAAAAATGCACCTTAATAATGTGAGATAAAAATATAGATTGTCATAAAAAGAATATATTCTACCAAATGAGAATAAAATATGGAAAAATACAGTTACAAAGACCAAATTTTTTTTAGTTATGGGGTACATTAAAGATGATTAATAATTCATTTTAATTTATAGAAGAAAAGCTCCACGTGTCAGCCATATATTGAAATTTTTTCAACGACGAACAAGGCGTGAGTCCGCGAAAAGTGCAGGAAATTGTGGTGAAAAGTAAAAGGCAATTTTCAGCCTTTAAGAAAAATGTAAAAACCCGAGATTACTTGAAAACTCGGAAAATGATTTCCGCAAATTTTATCTTTTTTTTTACACATTGACCAAGAAAAATGCGTCACAATGTCGTTAAGATTCTACGTAAAATCTCTTTCTTTTTAATGCTACCATAGAAGGTAATTAAATTGACTTTTGAATTACAAGGGGATAGGCAGTAAATGAAATATTCTGTATTGAGAAAGAAAATTTTAGTTGATCAAATTTTATTATTTTTTGTGATTTATTAAAAAATTTTTATTATTAAATTAATAATCATATTCTAAATAATTCAATTGATTTAAACCATTTGATAATAGTTTCTTTCAGTAGTTAGAGTAGCGATCCCAACAATAAAAGTAGAATGATGGCCGAGGGAACATGGAGCAACTGGCTTCAACGTTGCCGAGAATCTCGGAAGCTCGTTTTAGTGATAGTAGCAATTGCACTCCTTCTAGACAATATGTTACTCACTACTGTTGGTAAGTAATATTAACTTTTTTTTGTTATGTATCATTCATTATTGTCATTAACACATTTTTAGTGAAAGTTTAAGAAAGAGCATTTTTTCCAGAGTTTCTTACATACATTAGCTTCAGTTTCTGTTAGTAGGTCAAGAGTACTTAGTTTTTTAGATCTTTCCAACTGCCTTTTGAAATAAAGAAATAATTATTTAAAATCATTGACATCTAAAAAATGAAAAGTTTATATGTTCTGAATTTATTTACATACACAGCACCCAGTGTAAATTTAATAATCAAATAAATTTGTACCGTCACTATATTGAAGACTACATTTTATTTTTGTTGAAATCTTGAGAAAATTGCCAATCGTATTAGGAACTGTAAAGGCATGTACAACGTCTATGTATTATAAATCGATGTCTTTCTCTCCTGAGGAAAGAACGGAGATTTGCTTGGATTAGATGAGATCCTTCTTTGAGTCATGATCAATTGAATGTCGAAGACCCCGTCAATTTTATTGATCATAAAGAAAACGGGAGTCAACAAATTGGATAGATATATTCTTTATAAATTTACTTATTTTATTTTAAAATTTTTAGATTAACTTCTAGCTAAAATGATCATACATTCAGCATATATTTATGATTGATGTCAATAAGTATGCATTATATTTTAAACAAATTGTTTGATTTTAGTTACTCGGGAAATTGAAAAAAAAAATTTATCCTATACGTATTATATATTTATATTGAATAGCCAGAAAGCAGTTTACAAATAGAGTGATTCAATTTTTCTTATGTATATTTTATTTTACATTTATTCAATACATCTATCAAAACAATTAAATTTGTTTAAAAAGATGAATAATAATAGAACTTTAAATAAACTCATCATAATATATAACTCATTTATTAAACTTCCAAGTCACACTTAATTTTTGTTAAATTCATTTAAATTGTTTGGATCATTAACAGTTCAACAAATACGATTTAAATTAAATTTACTTGAGAAAGCTTCTTCTATCATAAGCTTATTGTTGGAATGTTTTTTCATGTGTGTATTCGATGATATCACTATTAATATTGTTCACTTTCATTTATCACATCAACAATCGATATTTTTTAGCAACAATCTTTTTCAATTAGGACAATCTACGTCATAAGAAATTTTTTCATGCGTCCCAATTTTTGTATTGTTACATTTATATTTCCTTCATAATTTCGATTTTTATTGTATCACTTATACATCTATGTTTGTAAGTAGAATATTTATTGTAGTTAAAAGATAGAAATAAAAACCATTTGATTAATTCTAAAAGAAAATTTTATTACATAAAAAAGGCTTTTTTACTTACTGTACAAAGTTATTTAGTCAATAGTAGAAATAGCAGCTTCAGATAAGCTCTCCAGCTATGAAGGAAATTGATGGAAGTATTGTGAAGTGTAACACACGTGTGGTCAATCATTTAGTTCCAGCTTTTAACTCTCCACATCGTTGCTCCCTACTACCATTTTTCTCCCTCGTATAATCTTTAATTCAATACCTACTCATTCATGGTGTATGAGATTCACCCCCAAGTGCTATAAGAGAAGAATAGTAATCATGTGTCAAGAATATACCAATCCTGATAAGTGGTCATGCATTTATGGAAAATGTAATGTAGTATTTTTCTTTATTCACTGTCAATTTAGAATTATCCAAAATAAAATATACGAACTATCAATGGAGAGGATAATAACATAGTTAAGTTAATTGAATCGGATGATTATTTATTTATTCTTCATCTAAAAAATTTTTAATCTTAATCTTCTTAATGTGAAAAAAATGCACAAAACTTCCATTTGATTTATAAATACTGTCAACATACGATAAATCTTTTGAAGAAGTGATTAAGTATTGGTTTTTTTGTTTACTTTTCTCGAATTTTATTACATCAAAAAACTTAGATATTTAATATGTTCTTGAAATATGTACTATATTATAGATATAAATAAAAATTAAATCCCTTGAAATATGCAGGACAATCAATTCTAGATTTTTTTCTTTCAATTCGATTTACTTCGAGGAGGATTTACTATAGCTTTATGTTCGAATAAAAAAAATGTTAAAAAGATTTATTCGAGATTAATCAGAAAAGTTAATTAGAAACTACTTACAGGCCTTAGCTATTATTTATTATTTAATTTTTTTTCCCAATTGTAGTTCCGATAATTCCGGAATTTCTCTACGACATCAAACATCCAAATGCAACGTTAAGTGAACATCTTGAAGGAGGACATCATGTAACTAATCCAACAACGATGATTCCTATTATTAAAACGACTCCATTTACTCCAGCTAAATGCACATGTCCTTCATCTAATGTTTCTGATAACAGTCCACTAGAATTTCTTCAAGCGACAAAAAATCCTACATCTGTCAGTGCACTTGGTAGGCATAATTGAAAGAATTTTAAACTATAGTTATTTGTTTTCATAAATTTTTATTGATATTACAACAAAAATAATGATATTATCATGGTAAAATGTTATCAAGGTCTAACGGTGAATACATCAAGTGTTAATATTACAACCAAAGAAGAGCTTGAAAGACTCCAGAGACATCATGAACTATTGGAAGAGACTACAGCAGTAGGCATCATGTTTGCTTCGAAAGCATTTGTTCAATTACTGGCAAATCCTATTGTAGGACCTCTGACACATAAGTAAGTGTTAACGTAATTTTATGTACTACTAAAATTTTCTTTATAATTTGATAAATTTCCTAAAACAAACAATTTGTATCACTAATAAAAATTTTATAATTAAATTTAGCTATAAAATTTTATTATAAACATTTCAGAATTGGTTATAGTGTTCCTATGTTTGCTGGTTTCATTATTATGTTTATATCAACTCTCATCTTCGCATTTGGTCGAAGCTATAGTATTTTATTTTTGGCCCGGGCTCTACAAGGTGTTGGTTCATCGTGTTCTACAGTTTCTGGTATTAATTAAATACTCAATAAGCTTCATAATAATAAATAACTTACATCATAATCAATAATTCAACTTATTTACTAGTATAAGTGAATAAAAAAAAAATTGATGAACAAATTTTATTTAAGGCATGGGAATGTTAGCTGATCGATATCAAGATGATAAAGAACGTGGTAATGCAATGGGTATTGCATTGGGAGGACTGGCTTTAGGGGTTTTAATAGGGCCACCTTTTGGAGGGTTGATGTATGAATTTGTTGGCAAATCAGCTCCATTCCTGGTTTTATCAGTATTAGCTCTTGGCGATGGATGTACGTAACATGATTAATAATCTATTCAATTTCATTATTTAATAAGAAAATTAATATTTAATTTAAAAAATCTCCCCCTCCCCCCTTCCCACACAAAACTACAGCTTATAAATAATAACATGACTTCACTTTCAGTATTACAATTGTTAATGTTACAACCATCCGTTGTTTACACTGAAACAACATCACCATCGCTAAAAGCTTTGATTTCGGATCCTTACATCATTATAGCTGCAGGTATAATATAAAAAATCATTGTAAATGCACGATTTTTCCTTTCCTTTATTTTGTTGGATGTTCAATTTTTTTTAGGTGCTATCACATTTGCTAATATGGGGATCGCTATGTTGGAACCAAGTCTACCCATTTGGATGATGGATACTATGGGAGCTAGTCGATGGAAACAAGGTGCTACTTTTTTGCCTGCCAGTATTAGTTATCTGATCGGAACAAATCTCTTCGGTCCACTTGGACATCGAATGGGAAGGTGAAATTTATATTTTCAATTTTCTACAGTAAACGCATGATCGATCATCTAACATTACATGAATTATTATTTTAGATGGTTAGCATCATTAATTGGGTTACTCGTGATTGGAGTATGTTTAATGAGTGTAAGTACTTACTTGTGAAATTACTTGGATCGATGACACATAAAATTTATTTATCTCCATTATTTTGTAAATTTTAATGAGTTTATTCAATAAAAAATTAATTTTATTTTTTTTAGATACCGTTAGCCACAAGTATTAATCATCTTATCATTCCAAACGCCGGATTAGGTTTTGCGATTGGTATGGTTGACAGTTCAATGATGCCCGAGTTAGGCTATTTAGTTGATATAAGGCATACAGCGGTTTATGGAAGTGTATATGCCATTGGAGATGTTGCGTTTTGTTTGGGTTTTGTTATTGGTAAGCATCGATTATAGACTTTTGTTTTAGATAACATTCCTATGATTATATGTTTCAAAAAAATGTTTAATTTGTAAGGCAAATGGTGTATTATTATAGTAAATGATCAAATGTTACATGCAGAAGTTTATGATTGAGAAATCCATTTTTAGGTCCTGCATTAAGCGGAACGTTAGTCAACAGTATTGGATTTGCATGGATGTTATTTGGAACTGCAATTTTGTGCTTCATTTACGCTCCTCTCATGTATCTACTCAAATCACCTCCTACAAAAGAAGAAAAAAAGGTAACAAATTATATCGTGAGTCATTTTATCTTAAAAATGATTCAAATAAATATACTTTTCGTTTAATTTTATATTTTCAGTCCCTTATTATTGGGGAGAAGTCATCAGTTCGGTACGTTACTTATGAAAATGAGGAAGATGAACCGTAGGAATCATTTTTTGTTTCCAATATATTCGATCACCACTAGATGAAAAATTAAGTAGATGTATTTAGAACCTTTAGTATATATATTCAAAATTCTTTAAATTCAAAGAAACTTTTAATAAGTTTCTATGTTGAATAATGTTTATTCATTTATATAAATGAATGGATATTTGAGATTAATCATCAAAAATATTAGATATATTGTTTAATAAATTAATGTCCGGAATTCCATCTCTTGAGGCTTAAAAAAAATTACCAATGACAATTGTTCTGTTTTGTAGATAGAAATATTGTATGGTCATATTAATTAATTTTATTCATAGGAATATTCTGAAAGTATTTTTGTTGAAAAATATGCATGATGCATGTTACAAGCTACGTGTACCACTTGTAATATAATTGATTGAAAGAAAATGAACTTAATAGTTACATTAAAATATCTATACTAGATCGACAACAACGACCAAAGTGGAGATAGACGTGAGGATAACTTTTGTTACTCAACAAGTGAATTATTTATCATTGGAAATATTTAAACTATTTCTGTTATGCTTTATTAAAAAAAAAATAATGTTGTACATTAAAACTATGGATTTAATATTGAAACTACTTATGTTTTTTAGACATCATTTTACTAAAATTAATTTACTTCAATATTTATAATATTGGAATAGTATAAATATTTATTAAAAATCGAAAGAAGAAAAGATAATGGACAATAGCGTTATTTAAATGATTATATAAAGTTACAAAAAGTGTACAATTAAATAATGATGAATTTCGGATGCAGAAAAGTATTTAAATTGTTTGATATTAGGTATAATAGTCATGATGATGTGTGGACATAATTAATAGTGAATGTTAATTTTATTGAAAGTAGTAGAATTTTTTCCTCAAAATTTTATGAACAAAATTTTCAATTCGGAGAGCCCCCTAGAAAGAATTTTCTGAATGGCTGCAGAGAATTCGTAATGTAAAGAAAAGCTAGGGATGATGAAGAGCTTTCCAAACTTTTGGCATTTAAAGTCTTAAAATTTCGAAGATTCGAATTATATAATGAAGGAACAGAATGTTCATAAAAATTGTACTACTTTCAATAATATATTTGAATGTGATAATGGAATAATTATTTTTCCAAGAGATGGTAAAAAATGTTGAAAGAATATCACACAGTGTAGTCAGAATGAGATGTTTATCAATGTTTCGCGATTAAAGTGAAATAATAAAACGGTTAAACATAATGAATTCGCGGTTGAAATCTACTACATGAGTGTTTAGTAGTTTATTGTTAAGAAAAAAAAATGATCAAAAATGGAACCGTAAATAGAAAATTCGTAGAAGCAATACAAAGTTCATTATTCATATATAATTGATCTTCAGATGCTTCGACCAACTATATTAAGAAAATTTGAAATTTTGTTCTGGATGTTTATGAATCTTAAATGTCTATTTCAAAGATACTTATATCATAGAAGTAAACGATTCACAAATCAACAAAAAATATTTATAAAATACTGTCGTTGTTACTGTCATGTATTTATTGAATAGGAAAAATATAGTAAAAATCTCAAGATATCGCGTTCAGATCCTAAATTATACGAATTAAAAACTTTTGAAGAATGTTGATGCGCAAAACGAGGTCTGGCTTTTACCCTTTACATATTAAAGCGGGTTGATTATAGGCATGAGTAAAATTTTGATGGTTAAACTATTTATTCGTAGGTTTAATCTAAGTGTTTGATGGAAAAAATCATATATTAAATATCGCCGTATTAGGTGTTATTTAAAATATTAATAGAAATTAATGGTGTTTACTGTTTCAATGTTTTAGGAATAGAATATAGCAGGTTCCATTAAAAATATTTAGGAAGAAACTATATAATCTTTACATAGTTTAATATCAGATTTTTATCGCGAATTTTAGGCTTCCAGAGGCCTACTCCTTATGAATAAGACGAGTCAATTTGAAAAAAATTATCGAATTACTAATTATTCGATATTAATGGATTTAATGAGATTTTGATAAACATCTACGGTACATTGTGTGATATAAGTTGAAGGGTTGAAATGATTCATCAGAACAGACTTTGAAATAGTATAAGAAATTTCCTTAAAAGGACTCTTAGATGATAGATTATACATAATTGTCATAGCAAACCTATATTTATATCAATGTTCGCAGTTGTATTTGATAAGTACAAGTGTTTGTTTCAATCAGCAAATATTGTAATCAGTAATCAGTTTTTAATTTCTTTATTTCATATTCTATCATATTTTCTATTCATGTATATGTGATGATTTGAATTTTATTTACACTTGTATATCGATACAAAGAGCGAGCAAATACTGGAAAACTGTTGTTTTACCTCAATCAGCATCGCCATATGCCGATGTATGTTTGAATTGCCAATGCAATCACAGAATGTAAAAACATAAAGAAGTATATTTATAAATTATATTATGAATTAACGTATTGATGATAAATGCGAATAACAACGAAAACTATTATTATGTTTACAATAATTATCTTATGATATGAAAAAAACTTCTGATAAAAAACAAATAAAAAATATTAGGTTTAATTAAGAACATCAAATCATTGATGCAATACAAAGAAAAATTTGTTTTTTAAACGCATGTATTAATTCTCGAGCTGCTATTGTGAACAGACAATAAGCAATGACAAAGAGCTCAACTCCCGGAATCTAATGGATTGGAGTCTAGAGTTTTATTTCTTTTTTAATATTGAATATATATTAATTGAAAATATTTCACCTCATAAGAATTTTTTCCTCTCGTCATTCGTCCACATTGGCGTTAATATTTTTAGTGAAATTATTCATAATTTCATTAGATAACATAATATCACAATAGGTGATAATTTTCTTAAAATAGATTATAAATCTGTCACTTCAAGTACTGTTTTAAATTTTTATCAACAGGTTTTTGCTATACATTATTAAGTATTGATAACAAAAAAAATTTATGTATTACGTTCTTACATACAAAAAAGAATTAAAAAGTTAAGAATAAGAATTTCAAAAATACATATGTATTGTATTTAAATCAATGAGCTGGTGTATGGGTCCGACATTTATCTGTTTTAAAGGAGAACAGCGAGAGAAAGATGCAATAAAAATCTTTCCGCAAATTTCTATATCTCACAATGAGTATTAAGTTTCATTGAACAGTAAAATATTATTTCTATAAATATTATTGTATTAATAAAATTTTCACGTATATCAAGAAATCGTATCTGTATTTACAATAAGCGTTCAACACACAGTAAAAATTGTGAATGTTAATTAGTATAGTATGAATAAATAAATTCAATGATATTCAGTGATCTATACATATATATATATATATATGACAGGTTTAGGTTTTTAATGTCTTAAAATGTTCATTGCAAAAAGTTATTTAATAATAAAAATCATTTCGTTTGTCATTGACATTTTGAATAAGTACTACAATAATATTTCTTTTTTAAATACCTGATACATTTTATATTTTTAGTTTTTGATTATTTAAAAAATAATAAATAGAGTGCAATATTAATTAATATTGCACTCTATTTACTTTCTACAGTGTTTGGCACATTTTTAAAATAAAGAATTGAATCGGTTTTCATGAAACTTTTCTCTACTGCGAGAGACTGGAGGCACTACCTGAGGTAGCCAGGATCTGCAAACTGCTTACTTCGGGCAGGAATGTGGCGCTCCGGGGCCTTGAATCCCTCGAAAGGAGGATGATCGATTATCATCAGGGCATACTAGAGCTCCATGTCAAAACGCACTTTCCGGGATCAACTCCATTGCAAGAAACCACAAGTGAGACTGGGAAACCGCCAGGCGAGTGGTGACTTACGATCGGGTCAAATGGGCGGTCGGTACTTTTGGTCACTACAGAAGCACGGGCACAGACGGACTATATTCGGTTCCGCTGCTAATGGGCGGCAAGCGACTATGGCTAAGGGTTAATTTTAGCAAAAGTGAACTGGTTCTATTGACAAGAGGAAGGAGGACGGATTTCCGGCCTGCATCCATCTTTGGTATACAGCTGAGCTGTTCGGAAACGATGTGCTACCTTGGAGGGACCCTAGATAGGAAGCACGAGGACAACCAGGTAAAGAAGGCCACGGTTACCTTTTGAACCTGCAGAAGAATGTTCAGCAATACATGAGGGTTGAATCCGAAAACAATTAAATGGCTGTACACAGCCATTATTATTCCCCAACTAACCTATGCTTCCATAATATGATGGACCTCTGCTCGAAGGGCCGTTTGCAGGAGGCAGTTGAATGAGGTCTATAGAGCGGCGTTGTTAGTTATAACGGGGGCGTTGAGGACGACCCTGACCATGGGCTGCCTACTGAGCATCCCCTCAGCGGAGTTTATGGTGGAGGCGTTAGCAAAGAGGGCGGCCATCCGATACTGGCCTCAGAGGACCCCACGGGACTCAACTGCAAAAGGGTCGACCGATGCCCCAGGAAGCTGGAGTTCTCACCTGAGTATGAATTCCGCGCCAACCAAAGCGGATAAAACTGGTACTACGGGCGACGGAAATCCAAGCCCGCACCTGGGGCTGCAAAGTCGAAAAACGACATGTAGAACCAGGTGTTTTCGGTTAATTGAGGTTGGACTCGTAGTGATATGTCGCAAGGTCTTGGGCTAGATGCGTGTATCCTCGTGCCTTTCTAAAGGCGTGAGAATATCACGTCCCAAGTAACGCCGTCATTAGAAGTAGAGCCATTCCCAGAATTATGCCCTATAAAGCGAGGTACTCCAATAAAATGTCCTTCTCAGGACAGGAAAACAAGAACTGGGTATAGAGTCTTTTTCTTGGACAGACAGACCTGGATGGAGGAGGACGAGTAATCGCTTACCTCTAAGGGGCCTGTCTAGTACTTGGGTGGGCTGAAGACCAGAGGAGGAGAGGCTGGAGCTGGAATATGGTGCAGTGAACCAAAGGTGAAAGAATCCTACACTTGAGGCCGGAATGCGTCCGTTTACGCAATCCTGTTGTGCGCAATGCATATTGTGAATAGACATTGCGACGGGCATTTCTATATCTGCAGTAACAGCTACGCTACTATTTTTTTTCGAAAGGAGAACATTTGAACGATTTCTGTAGACAATTAATGAATTCTTTTTGGTAAATAATGTGTCTCATAAGATCCTATAATTTATCAGTTAATGACGCCGTTTGATAAATATGATGAATATGGATTTAATTTAACCAAAAAATTCTTAGGTTGTGAATAACTTTTTTTAAGATAAATTATATTTCTATTTGATCGTTACTTTAAAGATGAGATAAGCTGGATTGTCATTTGATAAATAAATATTGATATTTTTAATTGAAATGAATAAGAATAAATGAATTTAATTTCAATTATCGAATTATATACATGTATTTGTGTATATATGTATGTTTAAATACATCTTTTTATTTACTAATTTATGTAGTCACTAGTTCAACCAGTGAAATTTTTCTATTTTCTATAGCGTCACTGAGCAGTGCTACAAATAGTAAATATTCACATAGAATTAGTAAATAGTACTAATTTATTCTTAGAGAGCTGACATATAAATAATTATAAATTACTTTATGCAAAAAGTCTACTGTAGAACACCTGACAAGTGTTGATTGGTTTACAGGAGATTAGAAATCTAGGAAATTTATATTCTAGGTGTTATTGTATTGAGAACTCTAGGTTTGCAAGTACTGCTAAGATGCCCCAGGAGTATGTTTGGAACTCCCTTTTGGGGTTTCAGGACTCCTTGGGCTTTTCTGTCCTGGGCGGGTCAAGTTTGTATCCTTCCGGAACCGTGTAGAGTTCTTGTAGTCAAGTTGGAGATGTAGACACTTCTTGGAGGCTCGCTGTGCCCTCCTGGTCTAGTACCAGGAAGCTCGGAATTATTTCGGAGGCACCCCACGACAGTTTGGCATTCATGGCTCGGGTTGTCCTTGATGGCGAGGAACTTCTCACCGTATGGATCACTGGAAGTAGCTCTGGTCACCTTCCCCAGGTTTCTCGTAGAAATCTCGTGGATGTGGAGGATCACTGGCTTGCACGTAGTCACTTGCTCTTTATCCACTTGTTTATAGTGTTGTAGAAAAATAATCGAAAAATCGATTGTTTGGCTTACAAAATCGATTTTTTTAAATCGAGCATGGTTCTTCCAATGAATTGAAAATAATCGATTTCTTTTTTTTTTAACGATTGTTCAACATCGATTTTTGATATAATTCTCATTTTAATTTATGCAAAATCGATTTTAACAATCGGTTATGATAATTTCGATTATGCAACTTTAAGGTTGTAATAATAAGAAACTTATTTATGGACATGAGATTTTTTTTAATAAAAAATTATGTATAAAATGGTTTTGGTGCTACAATTAAAAATAAGTAATTACCAGAGGAATCTCTATATTTATATGAATATATGTATTGTTACAAATTGTACAGTTTTAGCGCGTGTATACTATAGTGCAATAGCATTCCAATACTATAGTATCGTCTATAAACCCAAGATTCGAATCAGTTATGGCACTGACATTCTTATGTTTTTATTGTGGTAAATTGTTATTCTGGGTGTATTTAACAAAAACATTTCTTCTAATTAATTGTCGTAAAATAACTATGGCAAGTAAAAGTAAAATATGGAAATATTTTGTAAAAACTGACGAAGGGGGAAAATGCAAAATGTGTGATGAACATTTTAAATCAAAAAATACAAACACCAATCTTCACAATTATTTAAGAGCTATTCATAAAATAAAAGCTGAGCGACGACAACAAAAATCAAAGAAAAATAATGCGAATATCGTCAATGAAGTAAATGAACCATTGCATTTTGATGAAAATCAGGTATGTTTCTATGATGCTAAATGGAAAGTATCAATAATTTATTTATTTATATACATAAGTAAATTCATTCAATTACTTTTTTCAAGACTGTGAGTCATAATAATGACAATAATGAGGACATCCCTAATCGTCAACAACTAAAAAAAATCGTGAGTTATATGATTGAATAGTCAATTCTTTAAAAAAATACTTTTCAAGATATTGATTAAGATTATTTTACAGAAATTACAGTCTAGTATTCCTGAAATTATGGAAAACGTTCAGTCATATGAAGGTTGAAAATTAATTTTTTTAAATTTAAGCATGCGAATTATAAATCAACTTAGTGACGTTATTTTAATTTTCTACATAATTATATTATTAATAAATATTCATGATTTAAAAAGATTGTTTACCATTCCGAACGGTGGAAAAGCCAGGTTTGTTCGGTTAATGAAGACTTTGTGGACAAGATACAGAGTACCAAATAGAGACAAAATTTCAGATATAATCTATAATAAATACGATGTATTGTCTCTTCTCTGTTTCATATGGACTCAACCAGTCTATGATTTTTTCAATACTAGATTGGTGCATTGATTGTAATTGTTTTTCTTTTATTTTATTTATAAGGAATATTTCGAGAGCTTTTTTATCTAAAGCGTTGTGTTTGCTCTTCAAAATATCCATGCTGATTCCGGCTCGAGCTAATTTTTGTAAAATCGATAAACCAACACCATCCTGCATGCATAATAGACTGGACAAATTTTTTTTCACAACTACCAACGATTTTCAAGATTTGACTTGGTCTGAAAACGGCATTGCAGATTCCAACAAAGTGATGTTGGTTATGCTCAATTTCTTCAAAATTTTATCAAGAATTCCACAATCATGAATTGCATGATGTGCTTCAGTTCTAGCAATATTTAATGAGTCAGCCAATTCTATAATTATGCATGAACCTTTACCCGTGACTTTTCTGATCACTTGCAACGTGTCAACAAAACCATAAATTACCGCCGAAAACTCACTTATTCATTCATTTTTAACAAGAGCTCGGAACAACCTAGGCCTATCAAAGGTTAAATGTTGTGTAGTGATACAATATTGTTTTTTCAATGATTTCAACCATTCCAACAAACTATCTAAAGCTAATCGAAAATGAACGGATAATACTTTTTTTCATTATAAAAGAGTTCACCAGAACAATTTATCAGTCCATGGGCTTCATTTGCCTTTGTAGAAATTTGTTAAACTGGATTGATGTAGGTTGAAAAAGTATTCGTACGAAATTTAGAAGCAATTTGAAGAATATCGCAATCAGCCTCAAACCCAGAAAGTTCTAAATCCAGAATAATGATTAAAATTTCACAATTATCGTCTTCTAAATTTGCATCTTCACACTTGGCTTCATTTTCT